GAAATCCGCCCGCGGGCGCGCCCCCCCGCCCCGCAGAGCCACGCCCCTGGAGAGGATGAGGGCGCTCCCTGTGGCCGCGACGGGGTGACCAGGTCTCGGTGTTCCCACACACCGCATTTGTTTTGATCTCGCTGCCTTTCCGCTGTTCCCGCGGCTCTGACACCGGTCCCAGGAGCCCGCACCCACTGGCTCCCGCCGACGTCCCTGACCAGCCCTTCTCCCCTCTCCCCCGGCCTCCGTGTGCGCACGGGGCCTGGGATAGGAAGTGAGGTACTCCCTGAATGATCACAGCTAACAGGGAAGTCCCTGGCTTGGCTCAGGGACCCCAAGCCCCAAGCCAAATAGCAAAGAGGCATCGGGCTAAGTCAGATCTATTTTGAGAGCGATCAAGTATAAATTAGGAAAATATGAAAACATTCACTGCATTCCTACTAGGGGTAAGATTGGTGTCCTGCGGCCACCATGTACTAGAGCAGCGATTTTCAACCGGTGCGCCGCAAGAATTTTTAAAACATGCAATCCCTGATTATTTAGTCAGGAGCACTGACCTCTTTCCCCTTTGTTAAATTTAAAAAATGACAATAGCCCTCTGGTGTGACTGCCCTGTAGTGAACCATAAATATATAGGTCATATAATAGAGTTGCATCTTATTGGTCACGCATAATAAGGTTGCATCTGATTGGTTAATTCTTGGTACCAGAAATCCTTATGTATAAGTATGGGCCACCTGACTTTTTAAAAAATCACTTTGGAGCAAAAAGGGTAGATAATTACTATTATTATTATTTTATTTTGAAATCAATCAAAATTATACCTATTTTTTTTACCTGATTGGCAAAAAATATATGTTTTGATGTGCTGCATGAGATGAAAATCGCTGCACTAGTGTTTTCCAAGCACATCATTCAACTCAAAAGTTGAGAAGGGAGGGAATGGAGAAAAGAAACAATTTTTTAAAAAATGTCTACAATCATTGATGCCATTACGTTTATCTTTTCTCAATTCAGTTAATGGGCTATCCTGGTTGTGGTGAACCAGCAGGAAACAATATCACAGACCAACAGCGGAAGGAGCGCTGTTTCCGCTGCAGAGAAGCTGAGGAGAGAGGCTGCTGGCTGGCTCCCAGTGTTTGGGGGCTGCCCTGGCACAAGGGGGACCGTTAGGTGCACACTTGGAGGCGGATGCAAGGTTTCCAAGGAAGAGCTTTTACAGGATCACAGGGGCTCCGAGTCTGCAGGTGTGGGGTAGGCACCTTTGTAAAGGCACGTATTGCACTGAGCAGGGAGCTGAAGGAGATCCCCTCTGAGGCCCCCCAAGACTCAGTGATTCTCCTGGAAAGCTGGGAGGGTGGGGGAGGGACAGTAGCCCCACTCGGAGAACACAGCTGCGACAGGAGTGCTGGTGGCAGTGCATGTGCCCTCCTGTGAAGCTTAGACACCCTGGTCACCGTCCCTTCCCTCCCCCGGGGACAAGAGCTGCGCCCCTTTCCCTTGTCGCCAGTTTTGCTCCCCACCTGTCACGGTCCTCGCGGCCAAGAGGGGCCACGTCTCTTCCATGTTCTTCCTTGCTCTCCAACGATGGTGGCGCCGAAGATCTTCCAGTTCCAGGAATCCTGGTCATGCCCCCCTCTCACCAGCAGCGAGCTTCTCTTATTCTCTAGGGCTCTAACCTGGACTCCAAGATAAATATTTAATGTAGAGGGTGCAACTGAGCTGACCAAGGTCCCCACTTCCTGCTTCTCACAAGGCTACCAGCGTCATCTCTATGGGAATAGAGAGCCAGCACACAGCTTTGTAGGAAGCGGCACAGGCTGTGCTGGAGCCCGGAGCTTTTCTCTGGGGCCGGTTTGACCTCTGCCTGTCTCCTGTCACCCAGGCTCTGCCGGGCTCACACCTCTCTCAGCTCGGAGCCTGCTTTGCTCTGGCGCCCATGGAAGTCACTCTCCTTCCCAGAGTCTTAGACTATGGGCTCAGCCCAAGGAGAAG